AATTCATATTATGAATCCAGATTCTGATTCAGATTGTGTAAGGCCAGCCTCTCACAATTGGCCGGATTTTTAAAATTTAGGTCCCTACCTACTTATTTGGATTTACCAGTCCTTTACAAACTTACACATTCATAACGCATTTTATATTATTTTATTATTATACTAGATCAATCGAAAGACGAAATTGACACAGCGCTTAAATTGTCATATCCGTTTATTTCCTAGATTCATGCCATGGCTTCCATGAAAGACAGGTACTCGTGACGTCACCCGCCTGCGTCCCGCTGACATGGACACTATATATAATACCTTTTTTTAAATTTACAGGATGTCAGTAAGTGCCTGCGACTTCGTCTGCATTGAAAAAATAAATAAATATAAAATAATAAATATTTCCAACACTCACACCAATTAGCCTAGCCCCAAAGTAAGCACTGTAAGGCTTGTGTTATAGGATACTAGGGTAACGGATAGAATACATATACAGTACCGTAAGTGAGGGTTACTTTAGCTCGGGCGGGTAACTTTGTCCCAAATCAGAAAAAATATTGAACTTGCCGCCCCATCACTCTTGGGTGACCGTAATAGCTCCAGTTGAAAATCACAGAAAGCCATATAGGCGCGTAGTGTGGTGTTGTTTTATCGACATCGTTCCTGTATCAAGTTGTCATTGCAACGCGGGATTTTTTGTTACTGAATTAGTTCGCAAGTTCATGCGCAAACTCAAAACTGTAGTTTTCGGTAAGTTTACTATTTTATCTAAATTTAAAGTTATATTTTTATTTAACTTAATTATTTTTGGGCAAAAACATCCATTTGTGTATTCAGTATGCTAATGATGATCTGTTATAAGGGTTACTTAACCCCAAAATGGCTTAAAATGAGTTTTTTTCACAGAGAAAACTCAACGAGCTAAAGTAACCTCTTTAAGACCAACTTTGGCCCAAAATTAAAAAAATATATATATACCCTTAAATATTATTTTTTCCTATTTTTGTATGATAACTTTGTAACTTATACTTTAAACTTCACAATGGAAAAATATAATTGTGACATATTCATCACAAAGAGAAGCTACAATTTTATTTGAAAAAAAAAGTGCACATTTTAGGTCAAAGTAACCCGCAGTTACTCGGTACATAATTAAATATATAAGTATATTTATATAGGAATACATATTAAACATCCATAACTGGAGTACAAATGCTCGTATTCATTACACAAACATCTGCCCCCACCTGGATTCAAACACGGGACCTCTCGAGTCGGCGACACCGTGAAACCCGACGTACAAACCACTCGGCTACGGAGGTCGTCAAAAACTATCTTGAGTCCTATCCGTCGACTCAAACTATCTCTATACCAAATTTCATCTAAATCGGTTTAATTTTATAAGAGTGAAGAGGTAATAGATAGGTAAGAGGTAATTTCTGTACTGATGAATACAGGCACCGCTAATGTTGATCAACACACGCTTCTTTCCGCAGATCAGTCACATCATGAGTATGAAGCACCCATTTTTCATATTTTTGACGTTTTGACGTTATAGAAAACGTCTTTTAAATCGAAACAGTGTCACGGTGACTGTGGTTGTGTGTGGTTAGGTCGAAAATGAGTTAAATACTAATTATTTATTTTTCTGCATCAATCTGTTTATGTTTCGTAAAGATTTGATTACTTTTATGGCGCTTATGCAACAATTTTTTTTGAAAAGTTTTATTGTTCACAATGGCTCACTCCCTCCTCTTTGGCGTATGATTTGATGTTTGCTTGAGAAAAAATGTATGGCGGACCGAGTGATTTTCGCTAAAGCGACATCTAATGCGTAAAGTAAAGACACTAAGTAACTTTTTGTTAGGAGAATATTTAGAAAATATTATTTTATCAATATGTTTTTAATTTTATGGCGCTACTTCTCATATACAATGAGTTAAGATGACTTATAATGTGAAAAAAGTAGAGTTACTAAAGTGGCATTTAAACGGTTTTCTACTGTCGATATTAAATTTCTAACGCTAATTTTACCACATGTACATAGTACCAAAGCTTCGTCGGGCAGATGTCTGGAGGTGAGTGGAGCATCTTTGATGCTCTGCCATACTCAAAAGGGATAAAATTATGGCGGAATGTTTGTGTGGATCTTTTTGGTAAATTTATACAACCACAGATATATTACAGCATATTTTTGAAGTTATACTTCTTTAGGCGCGTTATGAAAAATTGATGAGAGTGAAATTTTAAGATGCGCGCGCATCACTGTAACACAAAATTTTAACAGCATGAAGTTGGTCGCTTTAGCGACCAACTTCATGCGTTACTTTTGTGTTTACCGCGCATTAAGAAAATCTACCAACAAAACAGAAATATAATCTCTATTTAGTGGGTGCTAACGACTGCATTGTGAAGGCCTATCAAAAGTATTTATTAATCTGGAACAACGAAACCAAAGTGCGATTCAGGAGACTACAGCGCCATCTCTTGACCATTGGTGTAGTAGAACCAAAAACCACATCTATATTTTTTGTAATAAAGTAACAGTTATAGGTATTCATATTTATAATATTTATCCACATGTTTCTAGTTTGTATATTCGGAATACGTGTTTGAGTTTCATACAAATGCAAATCACATATGTTCTAATAAATTATATTCAGTAGCGATTTTAATTGAATATTTTGATTATTTATTTATTTTTTCAAATTAAAACTGAACTTTATTGACTGTGTCCTTTTCCAGACTTTTTATTAATTTATTGTAATTAATTATTTGCATGAAATTAAAAACTAATTTTAAACGATGCCAAAGAAGGATAACTTCTCACGCGCCTACATAAGTATACGCACCCATTTTTTTGATTACAAGATTTAGTGAATGGGATGACCTTCCATTCTTTGGTCGCTTGATGCAAAAAAGGAAAATAAAAAACAAAATGGCGAAAAAACAAAAAGCATAGATATCAGCTGATGTTTTGTGTTTTACGCCGGGGTCATGGTTAGGTCATAAGTTTATTGCGAAGCGTATACAGGCAGCTTTTTAAATAAAATGTGATCCATAGTCTCTTTAGAAAGTTTAGACCGCTTGCCCGTACGTCGCAGCTCAAAAAAATTCGCACCCTCGTCCCGAATGATTTCTAACACTTGGTCGAGTTTCTCGTCAACATCAACATCAATTGTGGTTTCCAAGGCAGCGAATCGATTTTCCAGTTTCAGTTGGAATACGTCAGAACCAACGGCCGGTTGGAGCAGATTTGGCCGGAGCGTGGACTTCAACAATCGAGAACGTTCGAGCATAAAATCTATATTCAGAGTGCCTCTTAGAAGTCGGTGATCACTTCCGGTTTTAAACCTATTGATCACTGAGAAATCTCTGAATATGCGCTTCTTGTCCGATATGATGAAGTCTATGTCATTCTTGGTCATAGTATCGGGGCTCCGCCACGTCCATTTTCTCTGGGGCTGTTTCTGAAAGATCGAATTCATTAAGAAAAGCCACTCACGTTCTAAGAAATTGACGAGCATTTGCCCCCTAAGATTCCTACTCCCATAGCCGTATGATCCTAACATCGATTCGCTGCAGGTCTGTACTCCCACTAACGTGGAAATCCCCCATGACAACGTTAAAGTGCGCCTTGGTGATGGTGTGTAAGGCTCAACAGATGTCCTCGTACATCTCTTTCACGACATCATCCGAGTATGTCGACGTTGGAGCGTACACTTGTATAACCTTTAGGCTATATCTTCTGGTCAATTTTATAACGAGGTACGCATCCCTCGCCGACATACTGGAGACTTCAATAACGTTGTCAGTGTGGACTTTGTTGATCAGGAATCCGACGCCGCCCTGTGACGGATTATTCCCCTCTCTGAAGTACATAAGAGGGCTAGACTCTAAGGTCAGCGTGTCCTGGCCCTCTCTGCGGATTTCGCTCAGCCCGAGCACGTGCCATCTTATGTGCCTCAGCTCCTTCTCCAGCTGAGCTAGATGTGAGTCGAGCCGTAGCGTGCGACCGGCGCCAAGTTCAGTGTTTTTGGCGGCCTACTGTAGCCCGGAGATTCTTAGCCCCCCTGCCGTAACCGGAACCGCCGCCTTGGCCTGGAATAGCAGGGCTACCGGGAACTGGGGGCCGGGACATTGTTGTGCTCATCATTTATGAGGGTTTGGACCATAACCCACCACGCTGGTCCAGTGCAGGTTGGTGGGTGGTTTCGCCAGGGCCTCGTCTGTTATACAGCAGGACGCACCGCTTGCAGGTGAGGATCCGAAAGATGTTGTGTGGCCCATCCTACGTCCCATGTTTGGTTTTACAACCTTGTTTGTTTTTTTTTTCGAGACTGTCGTTCACGCCGATATGTTGTTCATGTTGCGCCTGCAGGATTTGGAGTCATTCTGAATAGTAACTTGAAGGCAATAATACTAAGTCGATACAAAGTTTATTATTAAATAGTACAAAATGAGTGCAGCGAAGAAATCTAAAACGTATCTTTTTAATAACGCTTGGGAGGAAGAATTTTTCTTTTGTATTGTGAAGGATAAGTGCCTTATTTGTCGTGCGTCGGTTGCAATACCTAAGCGTGGTTACTTAGAGAAGCATCATAAAACGGTTCATAAAATCTATGAAAAGGATTTTTTGCCACAGAGTGATTGAAGAAAACAAAAATTACATGATTTGATATCTTGTTTGAAAAAAGAAAACAAATCATGTTCACTAGACCAGCTAAACAATGAAAAGCTGTTACGATCGCTTCATTTAAAATATCTCATATATTGGCAAAACACAAGAAAACATCCGAAGATGAATCGGTTGTGAAGGAAGCATTTATTGAAGCGGGTGAGACTTTATTTGGAGATTTTAAAAATAAAACAGAAATCATGACTGCTTTTAGAGAACTTCAGTTATCTCGTCCGAATGTCACAAGGCGTATTGAAGTCATGAGTCAGGACATGGCAAATAAACATGATATCATGGAATGTACATACTTTTCTTTACAGTTCGACGAATCCACCGATAAGACAGACACTGCCCAGCTGTGTATTTTTATTCGGATAGTATTCAATGACATGTTGGCTAAGAAAGATTTTTTGACAATCATTCCTCTGAAGGGGAAGACCCGTGGTGAAGATTTCTTCAACGATTTCTTCAATTTTGTGAAAAACTACAAGCTTTAAATATATAAATTAGTGTGCATTACAACCGATGGAGCACCAGCAATGACGGGAAACAAACACGGTTTTGTGGCATTATGTCAAGCTGATGAAGATTTCCCTTCATTTTTTTCATTCCATAGCATTATACATCTACAAGTTTTGTGTTCAAAAGTTTTAAACACGTAGGAAATTATGGGAATTGCAACAAAAATTGTGATTCCATCCGTGCACGTAGCTCGCAACGGCGGCTCTTTTAGTTGCAGTTGGAAGGTAGGGAGTCAGCTGAACACACTGATTTAGTTCTTCACATGGACGTCAGGTGGTCGCGGAAAATTCCTAGAAAGGTTTCAAGAATTATTGGCCGAAATAACAGCTTTTCTAGACGAAAGAGGTGATGACACTCAGATGTTGAAAAACGAAAAATGGCTGACTGATTTGGCATTTTTGACTGACATCACAATGCACTTAAACACCATTAACTTGGAGCTTCAAGATAAAGGAAAAACTATTATTGAGCTGATTAGCGTAGTAAACGCATTCAAAAGTAAATTGCAACTTATGAAAGATCAACTGAAAGGAAAGGATCTAAAACATTTTCCGTCTTTGAAAACAAGGATTCCTCAGATGAATTATGATACGTATGAAGCTGAATTATCAAATATTTTGGGACAATTCGAAATGCGTTTTTATGATTGCAGTAAATTGGCAAATATAGCATAATTTATGAGAGAGTCATAAATGATGCTATATTTCTTTTTCATGTAAAATCATTGAGGAATTAGCTACTGAAATAGCAAGTCAGTTTATGTTCTGTTGAAAATGAGTTGGTGCAGATTATATCAGATATACATCTCATAGCTACAGCATCTGATACAAATTTCTGGTGTTTTATATCTGAAGATAAATATCCGAATCTAAGGCAAATCGCCCTTCAACCGACGGCAATGTTTGGGTCAACTTACTTGTGCGAGTCTGCATTTCCTGGAATGAAGATAAATAAGTCAAAATATCGCAATCGACTAACTGACGATCATATGCCATCATGCTTGCGATTAGTACTCAGTGGTTATGTACCATCTCATGAAAAGTATGCTGAGGACACGCAGTGCCACGCTTCAACATCCAAAGTCACTCCTTAGTTGAGTTTAACACCTTAAGTAACTCTTTTGTTTTGTAACAACTAATAAACTCGCAATTTTGAATAACAATTAGATTTTTTATTGATATTATAGAGAAGAACCTAATTAAACCTAACCCAAACCTTGACTAAAATAATGTTTATTGTGCGGAAAGCTAATATCTATATATGCTACGGTACACACTACCTATGTAGGAAGGTAGGTGGGGTGTATCGTGTATGTACGACAATCCTGCATCACACATACTTGCAGCCTCTCAGCGTCGATCGTAAGTAGTCTAAAAATTTTGAGGTAGATCGCCAGCAGTTGAAGTTGGAGCACCCCTTATGTACAGTATATGTATTCTATCCGTCACCTTAGCATCCCATAACACAAGCCTTGCATTGCTTACTTTGGGGCTAGGCTAATTGGTGTGAGTGTTGGAAATATTTATATTTATATATTTCGTCGCTCCTGGAAACCGACTACCACTTTTGAACAATCTCCTTTTATGTCATTCATTTCATCAGGATTATATATCAAATAACACTATCTCGTTACAAAATTTGTATGATATGCTTGAAAGAATACCATTTCATTAACATAATCACACAATGCACTTATATGCACAATGCCGTTTTGCATTTTTTTGTGTCTGCGACATTTGAGAAGATTAATCGCATACTTATCGCCACACCTTATTAATGACGCCACATCTGGCATTGTTTGGGCCAGTCAGTGCAGTGATGCTATCATAATACATAGTAATTATTTACGCAATAGGTAGGTAGTTAACTGGTGAAGATATATCAGAGTATGGCGTGCAAAGAAACTTTGTGACAATGGTACCAGAGAGAGAGCGCTCGCCTCTCGTCTGCGTAATATAATAATATTTTTTCCGATAGAGTCTATTATCATCATTAATAACGCCTTCAGTTTTAATTTTGCGGCAGTTTTTTTATGTACCAGACCCGGAAAATGAACGCTCCATCCGATGTTAAGTAAGTCTAGTCGTGAGGATAGATGATGCGATAGAAAAGTTGCGCCACTCCAGCTTTTTTACCGGCCTGAACTCTTTCTTACACCGTGGACCCATGTAACCTTATCCAGGAGATTCTCTAGCCCTTGTAGCGGCCGTGTGTAATTATTACCCTGGTGCCCTCTAAAATCAAAGTCAAAATGTAATGGTAGCGAGTGGTGTTTGGTGCCCCTTCAAACCGATGCACACACCCTGTACCATAGGTAAAACAAAACGCCACCAAAAACTGGTGTTACTGTGGCCTTGTTTGAGGTGGAGATTACTCTTTTCGAGTGAATTTCCTGTGTAAGTTCTCTTTTAACTTCTTTTAAGGATAAAGTGTAAATGGAAAAATCCATGGAAATGATGAAACAGAAATGTGTCACGAGCGTCACACGTCTATATATACATATATATGTGTGTGTGTGTGTGTATGTGTGGGATGCATGTGCTGCATTCCTTTATGCCTTATGCACTGACTAATTTTAGGTTATTTAGGAAAAGCAGTTTCACTCCTCATATGTGTAAACCTGTATCCTTTTTCAGTGGCCTCTTATTTTCTCCATTATTATTATAATTATTATAGAGTATTGGGGCTTTTAGAGATTTGATTTCCTATGTGCGTATTATATGTCGTCCCAGATGAATACTTTATTTAATACGTTTATTTTCTTCATACCAATATTCATCAAAATCAGTTTGTCGGTTTACGGTAATAACCAGACAGACAGAGTTAGTCTTGAATGTATGGATATAATTTGTTTTAAAGAATTCAGTTAAGTGAAGACGATTAAAAAAACTTAGACACATTGGCATCCACCGACCATCCGGTGGTGGCGGACGCCCACGCATCTTTAATTTGAATATTATCCGTTCGGTTTTTTTTTGCTAAATTATACCTGATACCCACACCTTGTCATCATTCGTCATTCTTTGCCGTTAACATATTGTTTGAATATAATACGGGGACATCATTGAAACCGTTTACCTTTGTGATGAACTTTACTCTTAGTCTCCTACTGCAATCCAATTTATTTGGCACTAGTGGCCCGCTCTCGCTTCGCTTCGGTGTACAGCTGTAGTGTAGACTTTAGTTTTTGTTGTCAGGCTTGCATTTATATTCACATGTTCATGTGACCGGTGCGGTGCCTCAGAAGGTATATATGAAATAACTTTTTTAAAAATGTACTAACATAGTTTTTAAGGTTTGATTGTTACTAACATTTCTATGGATCTAGTATCTGAAATAAAACATTATTATTATTAGGTATTATTTATTCATTTTTTTGTTGAACGAGCTAATCTCAGGAATTACTGTTCCGATTTAAAAAAAAAACTTTTTGTGTTGACTAGTGCTTTTATCGAGGAAGGCTATAGGTAATATAACATCATGCTACAACCAGAAGGAGCGAAGGATCAATGAAATATGATAGAAAATCCGGTAAAAATATTCCATTTCTGAGCTTCCGTTGCGTGCGCCGTTGTGTGTTACAAAATTGTTCCCCTTTAAAAGTTCCATAAAAAAAGTCCGCGACAGCATATGCTCAACTTTTAAGTTTGCTCACTATAACCTTTTTCCACAAAATTAACGCGGGGTTAAACCGCAGTTGTGACATAACTGATATAGTTAGACATATGGTACCGCGGACTTTTTTGTAGATATTGATACCCTCTATAAAACTTTAGTACCTACACCACTTTGCTCTACTGTCAATAACTTCCGCAGCGTAAGCGATATAAGGTTTTTTTTGGTATTTTATTCACATCCTGGGTTATGTTAACGAAGTTTTCATACGGAACCCTAACTTTTTTGAAAACACTATATGGCCTATGTTCATTACGGATAATGTAGGATTCTAAAGGTGAAAGAAATTTTCAAATCGGTCCAGTAACTTCGGAACCTATTCAATACAAACAAACAATTAAATCTTTCCTCTATATAATATAGATTTGAGAATTATATTAGCAGAAGGAGTATGTATATATCGCAGTAAAATAGATAAAACCATAACATAGTCATATCCCTAGGGATATAATTATATACCGTAATATTGTTATACGAAAGCGAATCAATCTAGTAATATGTTTAAAGTAATCTGGTTAAATTGTCCTAAGTTATATTTTTATTCTTTTAAGCTAAATGCTTGTTAGATTTTTAAATCTAAAGAAAATTGTAATGTTTTCATTCCATGCGCCCCAGGCAGCTGACGGGACTAGAAACTGCACCCTCCGCTATCCGGGCGAATGCACTGAGCATTATGCTACCGCGGCCCTAATTATCGTGTCGAATTTTCTCTAGCATTTCTTAGGCTGTAAGGCAGCGCTATCTCCCCACAATGTAAGTAACCAACAATGTCAAATGAATACATCTACAATGGTCTCATTGAGACCTTTCATAGATAACTATATTGTAATAATTTAGAAGACTTTTTTATTGACATGGATTAAAGAATTGTACATACATGAACCCTGACTACATTACACTTTTTTTTGACAGTCGTGTAAATATAGTCAAAAGTTACACTGTTCTAATAGTTCAACTTGTTATTATTTAAGTGAAACATACATTTATTTACATTATTTTTACCTACCTACGCCCACGCCCAAACAAGTAACCTTTACAAAGTCTAGACTTAGTATGAAGGACTCGAGTCTGGTCTGACCTGGAGGTTCTACTTAAGATTTGCATAGGAGGGGTTCTAGAATCGATAAATCAAATCAAATCAAAGGGAATTGCCTCATAATCCTTCTCCCTAGCTACGGACCTGGACTTACAAAGCATTATTACAGAAAATCATAGAAGGCTACAAAAAGTTTGCATGAAAGCTTCTCGAGGTATTTTTTAGTTTGTACAGCGAAATAAAAAATGTATTGTTCAACTGTAAACATATAACAGACCCTTCCGTTTTACTTTGCACCATAATATTATACAGTTCCTAGTCAACTGACTAGAAACTGTATAATATTATGGTGCATCAAAAAAAAACACATAAAAAAGGAAAATATATAAATCCTATGACGAACTCCGTGACCGAGTGGTTTGTACGCCGAGTTTCAAGGTGTCGCCTAGTCGAGAGATCCCGGGTTCGAATCCCGGTGGGGGCAGATGTTTGGGGGATGACGACGAGCATTTGTACTCCAGTCATGGATGTTTAATAATAATATGTATTTCTAAATAAAAATAATATATACTTAAATCAGTACCAGTATATGTATTCTATCCGTTACCCTAGTATCCCTTAACACAAGCCTAAAGTGCTTACTTTGGGGCTAGGCTAATTGGTGCGGGTGTTGGAAATATTTATTTATTTATTATTAATTAGATCCAATAGATCATTTTAACACGAGCCAAAAAAATACCTACCTTCCTACTTTAAATTGCTAAAGTTGAAACTGGAGGTAGTGGTGCTGGAGTGGTCACTCTCTGGTGTCGAAAGCGTCTTTAAGCTAGGGTATCCACTTTTCATCATGCTTAGATAGCTAGGTATATGCTAGCTCTTTATATTAAAAATTGCAAATTGGATGTACATACAATTGTTTTCAATCGTCCAAATTTACTCGTCATTGGACATCATATTTTTAACTGCGGAGAAAAACTATAGATTGTGGTTATTTATACCATCGACCTGATGATATGTTAGGCTTATGATATCCAGAAGAAAAACCTTTACTAAAGACGTTTTCGACACCAGAGAATATCACTCGTACTGTGTCCACATATCCCCGATCTGGGGATCGGGGATATGGGTATCCCGGTCACATCATGTCACGAGTCACCATTCTAATCCCCCTCCCGCCTCCACCGATACCCCCTCCTCCTCTATAAGTGAACCTCACCCCCGCGGAGCCTAACTCGGGCCCCCATTGAGCTAAAGAGACGTGCTTGGGCCTCAAAAGAACCGGAACAAAAAGCCCCACAAAAGTGCCACAAGGAAACCACCAAACGACACGTTATCACGTAATTATTGTCCGTAAACCGACTTTACGTACAACTTTTTCATAATTTTAGATCCAGAGTCAAAACATGCTGCGTTAATGACCATATGTATTGATTTCGTGGACTTTGAATACTGATTTGAGGAGTTACAGACTGTAATTCAAATTTAGTATTAATTTCAGCTTGATTCCTAAACTTGTTATTGAGGAAAAGAGTGAGACTCTTGACACAAATACAGATTGACAACAAAGTGAGCCCTTACAGGTGTTTTCTTTTGAGGTACTGTACTCTAAGGCGTCTACCATCCAAGGCCCCATAGTCGAGCCCAGGGCAACGTAACTTTGTTACTTCTATGCAATGAAAGATTGGTATTACGATTTATTA